TAGAATCAAGTACGATGATTTCGCCACAATAGGATTGCAACAACTGAAATTTCTTTAAAGGAATTTATATGTTTTGGTGTGGTTTATTGTTTTATAAGTCTTAAATGAGCAAAACTTTTTATGACTGAAAAGATAATATTTGACTCGAACTAATCAAATCTGCGTAATCTCCTAACACACATAAATGTCTTCAATGGATTTAAATGACGAAACTGCTTTAAATCCTTTTCGCCATTGAAGGTTTCAGTAGAACATAATTCCGTGATTCCAATAGCTTGAAGAATTTGTTTCTGAATCATAAAGAACTATTCTTTTAACAAGCAACCAAATCAGAATTATTAACATTGTTAGAATTTTTGTTCTAAGTTACGATAAAATAATCGGAAGCACTTAGCCCATCCAATTAACCTTAAGGTTTACGGTAAATATTTTTTTTCCACTTTTACGTTTTTTAAAACCGTTTACTACTAGTACAGTTAGTAAGCATAAATACAGAATTCTATTTTTTTACCATTTACAACTAGCATGACTTCAAAACCATTAAAAAGAAATTTAACTGATAATGGGAGATAGTTTAACAGATTTATGGTCATATATGCATGAGTACCGTGTTGTAACTGCCTAGGGTCTCAAATTAGAGAATGATGAACACTGGAAACTCTTGATGTGTTGAAAGGAATGGAGGAAATATTATAGTGTCAACTCTGGGATTCGAACCCCAGTTCTATCAGTTATGAGATTGACGGATTAGCATTTTCGTCTGTAATAAATACGTCTTCTAGGAACTAAGTGGCTTCATTAGGTGGGTCTAGATGGTGCTATAAAACTTTAATTGTTTAACCGTATTAGATGATTAATAAACGTCTTTTTCTCACAGTCAACAGTTTTAATACCAAGTTATTTTTGTTTATTTGACTGTTTTGTGTTTGAATAGGGTAAAATAACAATTCAATAAATTGTTATTTAATCACTTGCAAAATGTTTAACAATGAAATAAACGTATACTCGCGAAGAAATAAGTTAAAGAGCTGGAGGTAAATATAAAACTTAAGAAAATAGATCGTGAACTATCTAAGTCCGTACAACAGAAGCCAAACTCAGTTGACCAATATCAAAGAAAATAGATTATTGAAACAAGGTACTGAAATAATTTAGATCTAAATTGAACCAACCGTACACTTCTATACTTTAGAGTTAGACCTATCGAGCGGCTTTGCTTTCTGTGTGGCAGCTCATTCAGTTGAGGACATGATACAATGCTTGTTGTGGGCAACTTGAGTTTATGTCAGCTGCACCGGTCAAAAATCAAAAATGAAAATCTTGTTTGACATAACTGAAACAAAACTCCAAATCAAATCTCCTTAAATATTAAATTTAGTGATGATGTAACTGTATTATAATTAATAATATTTGAAAATTCAAGTGAAAGTCATGTATGAGAGTTCTAAAAATAAATTGTTATACTCCATAACAGTCATTCATTGTACCCATGCAGTTAGTTCCCTGTTTATCACTATAATATTGTATTTCTTATAGTATTAAACACTTATTTTAGATTTCTAATTGTATATTTATTTGTTTACATTCAATTGCTCAAAATTTTCTGGGCTGATATGATTTAGGAAGCAGGGATTACGAATAAAACAACTGGTTTCCTAAGTCGTATCACTTGTAGACCCTATAAAGACCTTTCTGGTTATTGCACAAATATTATTACCTACAATATAATTTAGATAGCTAAATATATAAATATTTTTTAATATAATAAGCAATGATTTGAGATTGATATAAATCTTTAAATATGGAAAATGATCAAATTTAGTCCTTTTCCTTTACATTGTGAGAAGAGAAATTATATTTCCACACCTAGAATATAATTATACAATGCATTTTCTTAATATAATTTCTAATACCATTAAACTATAATTTCGTAATATAATCTCATTTATATTGTTTTCGTATAATATTTGTTACATCGTAAATTATATTTCCTCACCTAGAATATCATTACATACACCTTTTCCTTTTACCCTTACGTTACCATTTTTTAGTAAAGTATTTAATTTTATTCGTATCAATTTTATAGATTTCAAAAAATGTACATTAAATTTTTTAATTAATTTATACTAATTGTTTAATAATCACATTTTAAACAAAAAAAAATTTAACTTTTCTCAGACAACGTTGGCCCGGCTTGAATAAATAGGATGAATCTTCAAAACAACAATTTAGATGTAAGAAAGAAGGACATTATGGTCATGTTTGATCTTATACCTCGATAAAAAAATTTCTGTTACGAGATTTTTGGAAATTTCTGTTTCTCAAAGTATTGCAAAGACAATAGAACATTTATAAACTGGTACATGATCAGTCTTTGCACTCATATATATTCTTTGAGCATAAATTTGGAGTTAAGTATATGACTACTAATGCCGGCAACTCTGTAGTTATTTTATTTTGAACCCAATCCAGAAGACAGGGGAACTACTGGATTAAGTATTGGGAAAAGTTTACTTCCTGGAGAAATTTTTGATGAAACTATGCCGGAATTGTGTTACATGGAGAGAAAAATCACACTAAAAAACCACGGTTAGGCAGACGGCAAGGGGATTCTAATCCATTATGTGTCAACTATTGAGGATAGATCAGCATTGTGGTCGGTGCAAACCGAGTGGGGATTTCGTATCAACCAGCAATTGCTGGCATTTGAACCCGGATAACCACAGCGATAGCTGAGCGCTCTAATCCCCTGAGCCATCATGACTCTCTAGGAGGATATTGTAACTCTCCTTCGTCTTAGCACAATTTCCATCCAGCAAGTATTCCCATACGCATGCGTAGTGTAGATCTAGTTAAGAGGTAGAAGTTAACTAAATGAAAAAGGTGCAAACTGTCTCTAAACATTTCTAATAAAATATTTACGTATTTTAATATTTTTTTCAGAATGTCACTGTGGTAAAAACACGGCTTCTTGCTTCTTTGACAGAAACGAAAGAAATATTTGCATTTGCCGAGATGGATTTGCTCAAAGAAATGGAACTTGTTCAAGTAAAAGAAAATAAGTACTATAGTTAATCATTTATAATGAAAAAAATTTATATAGTTGTAGTTATGTTTACGGCATTATAAAGGCAATTCACCAATCACAATATTTTTAGTAAGGATATATTTTATAAGGTAAGGAAAAAAATCAGTTTCATTTTCAAGAATAGAACTGTTACTATAAATAATATTAATTATTCTTATTTAATGCAACTTTAAAAAATTTAGAACAGTTATAATGTGTAAAAAGTTGCTTTGTATTTCCAAATAAAATATGTTTCCCTCGAAATATGCAATTTTTCATGCACTCTTAAATATATAAATATGTATATGCGATGTAAATTTGAAATCTTACAATCAGAAGCTAAGAAATATTTTAGGGACATTTTTATTTAGTGGCTTTGTTGTCACTTATATTTATTTTGAAAATCTCTCGTATCTTTGTCAATAGAGGACAGAGGACACCACTATAAACAAAATTTTCTTGCAAAAAAATTTTTTGCAACCCAAGTACAAAAAAACTATTAGACATAAAATCGGTTCAGGAAGCCTGGATAAATTTAACTGAAGCACCGTCATCCAAATTGACGATTAAGGTTCAGTAAGAAATATGAACTTAGATCTAATTGATATAAAAACATTATAAAAATAGTAGTTTTATACATGTACTAGGAGGCTCCGCCCCCTGCTCGCTAACGCTCGCCAACCCCCGAGAATTGCTACGCAATCCTATGTGGTTCACGCCGTGAACCATGGCTCGCTGCGCTCGCTCGCCAATGAACACAATGTTCTAGCACAAAGACATAATATATTATCATCAAAGACATAGTATTTTATCATCAAAGACATAGTATTGTACTTATGTAGA